CCTAATTTGCACTGGAATTACACGGCCATTACTAATGTGTACAGGGACTCAAATTGATTACTTTGCTATTAGGAAGAGCAAGGCGCTCGCGTGTGGATGGAGGCTTCCTCCGAGGGGGAGGACCAAGGGGCTCTGGAAAGGGGAGTCGCGGCTCTGAGAACCTGCGCAGGGATGGAGAGGGCTGTAAGACACGTGGGGATGGAGACGGTCACACTTGGGACCAGGCTGGGGATGGAAGAGACCAGGGGACCTGTTGGGCTCAGGTTTTAGCCTGTTTAGTGCCCCTTGCATTTGGAACCCAGCTCCTGGCTTAGTCCTTAGATCACCTCAGCCTCCGCATTTGCAGTGGGCACAGTGCCAAAATGGGATTTTAATTAAGAGCTGCTACCACAGTAGAAAATCCTGTGTGGAATTTCCTGCTCCTGAGGTGTTGGGACCCCAAAACTAGTCTCTTCTACTTGGGACATCCTACTTTTTAAGTGTTTTTTAAGCAAGAAGGACATGTGGGGCCTACAAGACCTAGCACTTGGCCTAGGTTCAGGATGGGGGATCCCAGCTAAGGACAGCTCTGCTGTCCCTGGCTGCTATCCAAGAGCTCTGACTGCAGGGACATTTCTTCCTTGCCTGAAATTCCCGACTTGCTACTGCACCCACCTTGTGTAACCAAGCCAATAGGCCCCTCTCCCAGCCACCCACGGGCTCTATCCCTATGGGAACATCCATTTTTGCATTCCTGCCCGTGGGAATGCTCACGCATCAAAACTCTTAAAGAGCTGTGACAAGGGAGCATGGGAAGAGGTGGCTGGAAACTTCAGTGTAGGAGAACACAGAGGAGCAGCAAAGGCATGTGCACGGTTATATCCCCATCACGCACTTCCTGCAGCTCCGACATGGTGCAGGTCGGCACCGCGTACTCGGAACTGCTCGTCAGCCTCTCACCTTGTCCTCATGGCCGTTAGTTTTAGCTTACCTGGAATTTTGCAACACTTTCTGGAACTCAATTGGAGCTTCAGGCTGCTTTTGGAGCCAAGCTATCTCATTCCCAAGGGTTTTGTGTGGCCCACGGCCACACTGGACTAATACTTGCTCAGGACCAGGCCAAGCAATTGCTCCTTTGCAAAGGTCTTCCTCACCTTGGAAGATGCTCACTCTTCCCACAACCCAAATTTATCTCTGTCCTCACTCAAAACCCTCCACTCTTGCTTCTTAACCCGTGCTGGAAGTACTTGGATCCAGGCCCATTTTTCCTGCTTCTCTCCCGACCCTCTCTCTCCCGGGCATTGAGGGGCAGCCGGGCCACCAGCCAGGTCCCTCACACACCAGCATCACAAGTGCCTCGTCCAGCCCTTTGGAGGCAGCATTTTGGGGACATTTTGTGGCCACAGCTGTTAATTTTGCAAAGAGCGGGTAGGAAAGCAGCTTGTTTGGCGGGTTTAATGCAACGGACTGATTGCTCTGTAATATTTTATAACTTGGGACGCTGCTGCTTGTTTGCAGCCAGCCACCGAGCATCCATCCCAGAGCATCCACACGGACACTTGAGATATTTTAAGGAAACACTCAAAGCTGCCTTTGCCTTCCAAGCTATGGTAAAAGCAGGTAAGTCATTACCTGCACAGGCAGATGGCTATTAGGAAGTGTATGAGAACAGGCTACGCTGTGGTTGTGTAGGTGGAGCTGATTAGACAGACCTGGAGTAAGAAAAAAGAAAAAAAAAAAAAAAGAAGAAAAAAAAAGAAAAAAAGGGCCATTTCCAACAATTTGCCGCTTGCTGATTTGCCCTGCGGTGTGGTGGGAAAAAAGCTTTTCCTGTGCGACCGCAGAGGAGACGATTCAAAAATAACAGCAAAATTGCTCGTTGTTTCCCCGCTGAGTCAGGTTACCGGCCGGAGCACTTTGGGTTTATACGTAACTCCTGCACAGGCTTCCTGCCCGGCAACAAGCACATGGAACCAGAGCACAGGCCGAGCAGGATTTTGTTGGTTTGTTCTTTTTCTGTGCAGTTTTGCATGGGTTAAATACATGAAGGGACCTGGGCACTGGAGTACCAGAGGTCCCACCTCACTCTAACATGCCTGCAAGTTTTAAAACCCTTGTTTGCCTCCCCCCTTACCTTTAAGTGTCATATTTTGGATGAACAACTCAAGAGGCTGAAGCTTTGGCCGCACCACATGGGCAGGTCATGTTAGTCCTAGGTCCTACGGCCACTGGGCTCTTTGCAGCCCTTGCTCACGTCAAAGCCTCAGAGCAGTTCTCAAATCAAGCACCTCTCTGGTTTTTCTTGCATGCCTGGCCCTACCTCGGACAAAGTTTTGGAGCTTCCTTCCTGATTTAGACTTCCCAAACTCAAAGTTGCAAAGTAGTGCTCCAAAACCAGCTAACTACGCAAAAATAAAAAATCTAAAATATGTCCCCATAAATTACCCTCACAGGTGCAAAGCAACTGCATTGCAAGGCATCATGACAGGGTTAAATCCTCACCTAGAATGAGATTCATGGAGAAGCTGGACTCAAAATCGTCTTTGAAGCAGATACGTAACTTGGTTAGCCAAAAGCAGTTTCAAACGTTACTTACCAAGAATCTTACCTAGGATAAATGATTGGCCTCATACTGCACTGCTGTCAATGAAATGCTCAAAACAAATTCCTTAAAATGGTTATCTTCGTATTAGGACCGGCAAGACAACGAATATGGGGCATCCCCCCGTTTTTGGCCACGGTGAGGCTGACGCAGCAGGCACAGGCTGCCCCCCGAAGGCGAAATCCCAGAAGTGCAAGGAAGCCAAGACGTGTCGGAGTGTGAGGCAGCAGGGGTGGGAGGCTGATGCCGAGAGCCCTTGAGAGCCGTAACAGCTCCTGCCCTTTGCTCATGGCTGTGCCCTTTCACTGACAGCATCCTATTTACCACCAATTTCACCCCGAATCAAGACCCGCAGCAACAATCAAGAGTAGACAGTGGATTGAATATCAGAAAATTACTCTATCAGGTTGTGGCCGGTTGAGTTCTCATCTTCCCTCACAACCCACTTACACAGCTTTAAAAACAAACACTTTAAAGCAGAAGAGTCTTCTCCCTTTCTGGGATTCAGGACATTTGGCTGCCCCTGGTGCCTGCAGTGCAACTACTGATGTGCATGTCCAAGTCATCATCGAGTGGGCAATGGATGGACAAGGACCCAGCACATTTCCCAGGAAAGCAAATATTTATGGAGGTGGCTCCAATTAATCTTTAGACCTTCTATGCCCCAATGCCTTTGTTTGCACTGTATTTCTCAATAAAACGGGTCTGTTTTTTCTTTTCTATATGTGAGACTACACAGTTATCTCAGCTGAGGAAACTAAAGCAGGCGAACATCCTCCTTGGCACATGTGAGAGCTGGACGTGGTGTCACTGTCCACAGGGGCCCTCTGGTTGCCACCTGCTGCCACCCTCCAAGGGGAGCTAAGAAATGCCGACCATGCCTAAACGGAGCCGAGAACTACACAGGGAGCCGGGTCTATGTGGTAAGCTGCTAGGCATGGGAATTATGGTAATTGGGCTTTGCAGGAATTCCAGGGGGCACATAAGGCCTGAGATGGTACGGAGTAAGGGAGCAGCTGGTCTCTACGATAGACCTGCCCAGAGCAGTCATGTCAAGCTCTGTCCCTCCACGCGGCTGTAGCTGCGGTACTTCAAGGAGCTGGAGATCTTCACCTACGAAGATTACGTTCCTGTCTGAACCCGTCCAGCTCCAGCTGTAGTGCAGGGATCTCTTCCAGCTTCACCCAGGAGCTCCTCAGGAGAGACCTGCACCTCCTGCGGCCCCATCTCCACACAACTGCTAAGATCAACAGTGAGGAGGAGGAGGAAGGTGCAACATGTAAGCACAGAACATGTAAAGAACTCAGAAGAGACAACACAAAGAGCAGTAGTCAAGTCCATGCCCATGGAGGTCACCTCATAGAGCCAAAGGGCGGCCACAGGGGCTGCCTGGGCTCCAGTAACAACATGTATGACCATCAGAGGGACACAAAGTAGGTGGCGGTTTATTATTCCAGGTAACACACACCCTGATATCTCTTGCACGCTGATAAGCAAGAGGCTGCTTGTTGCACTCTGATTTATTGTGTTGCTACACTTAGAAAGATTAACAGCCCAAACCTTGGGCTAAAATTGAAATGAGCAAACGTTTTGTCAGGATTTCACCCAATTTGTTGGCAATTTATGTGGGCAGTAAGCTTTTATGATGTCCTTAGCTACTCACATTTCTCTGTTTTTTAAATGTCTGGATTTTGTAAATGTGCTCTTGGCAAACACAAGGGTGCCATGGGAACTATAACTGCTTTATAAATAAAGTGTTCCTCTTTTGGAGAGTACAAGTGAATTGCAGTGAAACTAGAGATTTTAGGAAGCTGAGCATGCAGTCTGTGAATCACAACATCCCAACAGCCTTCCTGATTCAGCCTGAAATGAGAAGACCCTTCTCAGAAAACACTCTTACGTTCAAACCTTAAATGTATTTTTACCGTGTAACACTGTATTTATGTAGACTCCTACCACTGTAAAAATTTTCTAAGTTTAGACAGTTTTTACTCTTTCCAGATGCAAAATGTTGCAGGATGCAAGTCATTAATTTGTTTAGGTAGGAAATTCAAGACACATAAGCAAAGCAAGTACAAAATACTCATAAACATTTGTAATCAGTCTTTGGGGACACACGTGGAACTTTCATTGTAGGGTTTAGAGATCCCAGATGTAACTCTGAGTATGCAAACTGAGTGACCACAAAGAAAAAGAGAGCAAAAAAGTGAAAATAAAAAAGTTCTTCTCTTAAGCCAAACAAAGGTATCCTATTCAAATTCTGTGGTGAAAACGAAATATTAAGCTTATAATAATTTCTCAAGATCTATTCTACACTGGTAGCATCTTCTGTAAACTTTTTTTTTCCCTCCGATTTGCAGAATAAATATATATGGAAAAAGCCTGATGCATTTGACAAGTCACCAGCTACTGACATGCTGAAGTATCCAAAGCACACGAAGTCTGTAGATGCAAGAGCACATGAATTTTGTTGAACACAACTAAGTTACTATGATTGTAAGGGATTGTTTAATGTAGGTTTATTTTATAAAAAAAAAATTTAATAAAACATGTCTAAATTAACTTAGTGAAAGACAGTTGCAGGCTGTTACATTCAGACATGTTCCAGTTACACTCCCAAGGTGTTTACTGGCTATTTTTACAATATTCCTAGAAGGGATTCCATACAAACCCCAAGTCTGACGTCTGGTTTGGAAAATAGTACGAAGCCTTTTGTGGAGGGCCTGTAATGCATTCATGCCAGAAAGGGGTCGTTTCCATTTCTCACATCCAAATACTGCAGCAAACCACGTGTGCATCATATTACAGGAGAGTGAACATTATTCCAACCTCACCAACTTCCAAATGCTCCTTTATTCTTTCACATTTCAAAATACGCAACTCAGAAAGCCCTATTTTCTGTTTGCCTTCCTCTAGAAGGACAAAACACAAGCATGTTTTTGGACGAGCCCTCAGCCAGCTTTCCCCTCTCTAGCTTCTATTTGCTTTTCCTGCATCAGTTCATCCTCCTTCTTCTTGCGAAGCTTTAGAAGATACTCGTCAGGTTCAATTCCCGCTTCCTTCAATTCTGACATGATTTTCTCCAGCCGGTGCAACGTGCGGGCACTCTGCATTTTCCTTGCACTGATGTACAATGTAAATTCTTTGAAACCCATCAGTTTACAGGTATCAACATCACAGATGTTCTTTACATCTTTGGTCTTGTCCACCTGGGGGAAGAAAACCAATCCTGACATTTTTTCCAGGTCTTCAATATTTACTTGAAACTCAGTCAGCTGGTGACTGAAGCCTATGGGATCATTGGGGACCACAAAAGCTCCCAGCACCAAAGGCTCTGTGGTTGTTCTGCTCCTCCTGGCAAGAATGACTTTGTAGAGGTGGGATGGCACAGCTACATCATCCTTTCCAATGACCTAGGGAAAGAAAAGTTGTTACAGACATAGATCTCATCAAAGCTCGTTTGGGGGATGAGGGAGGAATGAGCCAGATCCTGGTATCTCCAAAATGCTGTGTGCAACCACACATTAAAATCACGTGCACTGCATCAGGCCACAATCTGAGACAGAGACAGATTTCCTTGCAGCTTCTTATATATCTGTTGGGGACCCAGCTGGTTGGTTGAAGTCCAAATCTCTCTCAAGTGTAAGAGAGGTTCTCAAAGAGAGAAGACAGCAGTAAGCTGCAGTGTTGTTTGGCACTATCCATAGAGACTTTCTCAGGAGGCTCTGGGCCTTTCTCACATAACAAAACTTTCTATTTGATTGTTAAGAGCAATGATTCAGATAAAAGGTCAAAAGATTAGTTAGTTATTGCCTAAGTATCTGCAAAAATCCTGGACAAGTTACTAAGTTGTAAGAGTGAATTCCACTCAAATTTTTCAAGCAGAGGAGAACAGGGTAACTTCACTTGCAACTGCAACTGAACTGCAACCAAATCTGAAGAACGTTTTTGGAAGCAGGGATTCAGCCAAGACCCCTGTTCCCTAATCCCCCGGTGCAGATCCATAAGCAGAGCTGGCAGGAGGGGAGGGCAGGTCCTTGTTGTGCTGCATCACACTGTGGATGCTTTGGAAGCTGCTCTCAGGAGCAGCGGCTCCACGCTACGCTTTAAAGCCTCGAGTTGACAGATCCAAATCAGGTATTTCAACAGCCATTCTAAAAATCCATTCTAATTTACTTCGCAAATTATTTCTGTGCTTTTACTATCCAAGTACATATTGCATGTCAAAGCTATACTACCTAACTACACATTTTTATGAAGAGTCCCAGATATAAAAGCAGTACATTTAGTGGCCATCTTGAAAGAGGAAAGTCAGTCCAAAGAAAAGGTGTGATTTTATGCACATATTTATTCCACATTCATTATAAAACACCACAGGAGCTTGAATATGTTGAATTTTCCTGCTGTATTCACTCAGACCAGGATCCCAGCCTTGAATTACTATGAAGGGATGACCAGGATCATGTATTTAAATATTTAAAGTTTGCTCACATGCACACATGCATATAGTAGAAAAGCCATCCTGTGTCAAGAATTAATTTGAGCAAATATTCTATTTTATGATGAAGAAATGTAATCTTTCCTCTGCTAGTATTCAAAAAATGAGGCTCATTTGTGCACTTCATTAATTGTTGCTGCAATAGTACTGAGCTTATGTGCTGTGCTGACAAAAGTTCAACAGGCTCACAGAGAAAACTGGAGTGTTTGCTCACCCCTCTGGAGAGCTGCTTTCTAAAATTGTACTTTTATTCTAATGGCAAGAAAAGAAAAAGATGTGGACACTCCTAAGAACTACACGGGGATCTTATTTCATACATCAAATTCAGTATTGGAGTATTATATACAGGGTGTGTAACACCTGCAAAAGCAGTGTCTGCTTGTCTGGATTTTTGTTAGATACCTGCCTTCTCTGAAACTGCATTTTATTTGCATCTATTTCACTGCCACAACAGATTAAAGTACTTTACAAACTAATCTGGTATAACAGTTCAGACAGGCTTTGTCCAGTTGTATATTCTGTACAACTCCGAGGAAACATTTCCTATCCATGCTTTATTTTGTGAGTATTGAGCACTTCTGCAGAAGATGATAGATTTTAAAACCCAAACCTGGCCCGTGGCTACTGCAGCGAGGTTCATTTCATCTATTTCCACCAGTTATCTCATTTCAGTTAAGAATTCTTGCAGTGCTTGAGGTTGTGTCCTCTGCCTCTACTGCCAGGTCTTACAGTTCTTTAAGTCTGACTGGTTAGATCTAACTCCCAAAAAAATGAAAGAAAGGGAAGCCCTTTAGGAGAAAGCGTTCTTCCCTTTAAGAGAGAGGAAAATCTCTGGCAAAGAGGTAAGGAATTTGCTCTTAGACTTGTTTATTTTATCACCAAAACCTGAGCATTTTCCTCCTTTCCTAAACCAGGCTATTTAATAGCACCTCTGTATCACCTTGTTGTGGTTTACACTTCTCTACAGCAGTGATGCTGCTTGTGCCACCAACCTTCTCCCAAATAAAGCCCTGCCTACACATATAACAGTCATTGAAACAGGCAAGCAGTTCCCGAAATAAACGCCTTATGTTAAAGCTACTTTCCCTTTCAGCAAGGACAGATGTCTTGATAGGGAAATTAGAGCTCCTGAGTGTCAAAGCACTTTGCATTTCGCATTCAGTGTAGGTGAAACCAGAGTAACAGCTCCCGGGGATCAGAAGCATAAATAATCAGAACTGACTGATGTACAGGTAATTTTAAAATCTACTGAAAACTATGCATCAATTCATGGCTCTATCTCGCGGCTTAAAACTGAATTAGAAAATGGAGAGTGTTGGAGTCTAACCTTGTTGGGATGGCTGCTACTCAAACCAGGAGGGACATGTCATGTTTTGGGGGTAGTAGAAGGTCAAGAAGGACAAAACATCCGTGTGGGGGGGCAGGGCTCGTTATGGGACTGGCCTCTTTTCAGTGGCAACCACTGACAGAACAAGAGGAAACAGCCACAAACTGAAGCAACAAAAGTTCCACAGGAACTTAAGGAAAAATTTCTTGACAGGGAGGGTGACAGAGCCCTGGACCAGGCTGCCCAGAGAGGTTGTGGAGTCTCCTTCTCTGGAGATCTTCAAGACTCGCTTGGATGCAGCCTGTGTCCCATGCTCTGGGTGACCCTGCGCGTGCAGGGGGCTGGACTAGATGATCTCTAGAGGTCCCTTCCAACCTTAAGGATTCTGTGATTCTAGTTAGTATTCCTGTGTCTGCCCAAGCACAAACAGTGGGTGATGCTGTTGAGGGCTGGAGGCTCTGGTTCTTTTCTTCTCCCTGGAAGGCAGAAGAGCCTGCATGAGGTCATGGGGCACCTCGAGTGCTCTCCAGCTCCAAGATGTTTGTCGCAAGCCTGAACCCTTTTCATGAGCTTTCCCGGGGCTCCTTAGCTTGGCTGTACAAAGTCCCACCCTTCTTTTCCCAGGTCTCTTCATGTCCTTTCTCCCCCATTCCCAATGCACACATATATCCTCAGACCTCCCTACCTCTGCTCCCAGCCCTTCCCAATGCTTCCCACACACCAAAACGCACCAGTATCCCACCTTTAGCACAAGAGGGATGGTGGGAAGGACGAGCTGCAGCTGGATGCAGCTGCAATCAGGGGCTGCGTGGCAAACGCAAAGCAAACAGGTGAAGGCGCCGCGCGAGCAAGCGGAGCGAGCAGGGGATTGAGTCTGAGCAGCGAGTGGGTGGATGGAAAGGCTGGGGAATGAATAGTTAGGTACGAGATGGAAACACTCTGAATGCCCAGAGTGGGCGTTAGGGGAAAACAGACCCGCTGCTTATGTAATATTATGCAAATATAGAGAGATTCTATGCAAAGTAATGTATTTATGCACAGTGTACAGCCCCACGTAGGAAAGAACGAAATAACGAGGACCATTTCAGAAACAGGGGTTGGGTTTTTTTTGAGAAAAAGGTAATTCTAAATAAAACTCAATGCTGTACAGGTAATGGCCAGGAATGTAATTCATGCATCATTTCAGTTCTACGTAAACTCTCTTTTGAGGATTTAAAAGAATTTTTCAACAACGCACAGGCTTTATACTAGTCCTCTTAATAGCACTAAACATCTTCTACAATTACTTTACTGAGCTCCAGTACTGCTCAAGTGATTAAAACAAGTTTCACACTGACAAAGCAGTCGGTGCACAACAGTGCTCTTCCCTTGCACAAAAGCAGGCGTGAAAGGTCTATCCCCCAGCCCATTCTGCTGGAAAATACCATGAGGCATTTCCTCTACTAAAGGAGAACAAAAGGAAGGTGTCGTAAAAGAATGAGCCTGAGTGACAAAGCAAATGTGCTCCCGTTCTGCAGCTTAGAACTGAAGCTCAGGATGCATCACTGCTAATTTATATAGCCAGGGTGATGCAAGGATTACTGTTAAAAAGAAATGTAGTCCTTGAACAAGTTGAAATACTTCCCTTGTTATCAACTCTAAGGCACTGTGATCACTTTGCTAAGGGAACAGATACGGAAGCTGCTGCTGAACACTCCTTGCTGCCTTGTACAACCACCTCAATGCCAGAAGAAGTAGTAAAATACCAAGTAAAGGTAGCAACCAGGCAGGAAAAACCCCAAGAAATTCATTTTCTATTGCCACCTAGAGGATCTTCCCACCTTAACTCCAGCAGTCTGGATCACTGCTCTGGCCTGCACCATCACATTTATCCCAGCTCATGCCAAATAGCAGCGCATGGCACATGCCGCTATTGGAACGGGACAGAAAGCAGGTCAAGATCATCCGTGGACAGATGTTGACTTTGACTTGTGCCAGTCTGTCCACAGGCAGAGGATGATCTTTCCACAATCAGTGCGACGGCTCTGGCCCAGCTGGAGAACGACAGGTTTTAACGGTATCTGTGACTCGGATCTCAGAGACAGAAAATACAGCACTGGTTTATCAAAAATCTCAGCTGTCCCAGAGGACTTCACATCGTGCTGGGGAAACGATACCAGGTAGGTTTTTGCCCTGTCCTTTGAAAGTTTCCATTTTTGTATTCCTACTAAAAACTACTTAAAATCTTTCACATTTTCAACAGCCCAGGAAGCAGAAATATCCAACCTAAAAGCCTTTAAAAATAGTCCCATCCCTCCTTATTTGTAACACCAGTGTAAAATTTCAAATATGACTCATCTTTGCTGTCTGTGTTAGTTCAGCAGACAAAAAAAAACATTAATTGCCCTAACACTTCAGAGTTTCCTATTCCACTTACTTTTGCTTTGTTTTGTTCCGTGGGCTGGCACCAGCTGAAGCCCTATGATCAAACTTAACATTACTGTCATGTTGTAGTATTAGACAACATATTTCCAGCACAATTTTTTTTTTATTATTTTAAGCGTTAACATTGGTACAATACTCATATGCCACAAGTGTACATAAGCTTTTATCCCCCTTGATATCCACTTAAACCTGGACAGCAGTCAGGACTATGGGCCATGAAAATATGTGTAGTTCTTGACATTTGGAGATGTTTACCTTTTGCTAAAACAACAAATGTCCTGTAAGCAACTGAAGAGCTTGCAGGCACAGATAAAGATAAGGGCAGAAGCAGCAAGATTTGTTAAACCAGAAGGAACTTGGTGAGCGTTGGTAAATTTGGTGTCAGACAAGTCACTGACTTGTTTTTTTTTTCCTAACATTCTCCTGTCTGTGTGATTTTAGTTATAACTTGCAACTGTTCCTACTTGATTTTTTTTTAATTGGAGGAAAAAAAGAACTTGATAGTATTTGTGAAGAGCTTAGATGTTAAAATAAACATAGCTGCTGGGGGAACAATGGGTAATTTTAAGCATAGGACATTAACACCTCCTTCATGGGAATAATCAGATATATATATATAAAAAAAAGGGAAGGAACAAAGTCGACCTTAAAAAACACAATTTGCAGGTTAAGAGAAAGAAAATCCCTTTCTTCAAAAACAGAAATAAGGCTACATACAGTGTAACAGCAGAACATCAAAGATATTATTGGAAGTAAAACAATCTGCATCTTATTAAAACAATTAAAACAGCTATATCATGTTTTAATTTCATCCTGAGTTTTATACTTTTATAAGAAAGCAAGTTTCTTCTGGAAGGGTAGGAAAAACTTCTTAAAGAAAGGCACACTCAATCTAATAGTAGTATTTTGCCACCTAGCGACTAGAAAATGAAAATCAGCCGTGAAGAGAATTAGCAGAAGGGTCTTGTCTTTCATCAGTTAGTGACATCTCAGGATTCTCAATTATTTGAGATTCTACAATAATTTAGTAACCAGAAATCCTAATCAATCATGATTTTACTGTCAGCAGACACTTGGAAGTCTCTGTATTCAGCCACTCCGCCTAGTCTGGTATCATCTGCAAATTTGTTGAGGGTGACTCTGTGCCCTCATCTAAGCCTAACAGCGTAAGAAATTCCCTTTGCTATCAGTGGTTTTTCTGTACTTGATGGCTGCAAGAGCATTAACTGCCCTTACCCCAATCCCTTCTAGGTTTGTGACAGGCAGCACTAACTCTGTTAACAGTTTTTTTTTCCCTATGATTAGAGAGAATCTATCTGATGGCATTGAAAAAAAGCAGAGTGGTGAGAGGGCAGTCCCTGAAATACAGCAGATACTACTAATATGAACCAAATTAACAAACTGTTATAAAACTGCACAGCAAAACACTCCAAAATGTATTTCAATAAGATTCAAGTTGTTATGGCTGGCCTGATTGCTATTGCTAAGTCATCCGGCAATCCTAAAATCCTAAAAAAAAATAAAAGATGATGAAAATGAGGTCCCTAAAAACACTGCTATGGCACTGAGAAAGTCTTTCTTTTCTTTTTGAAAGGAAATGTGCATATGCATTATGATATCCTGTTCATGTGATCACAGACTGGCTCTCCCACAGAATCCATCTAGGTTATTCACCGCTGAATTCAATACAGCCCCTATAACCTCTCTCCCTATAATGAAAGGGGCTTCAGGATGGGTGCAGTGCTAAATAAAAGTAACCCCATAAATCTCTCCCGCACTCCCTTCCCCTCCGATCTTAACCCAGTGTCTATTATTTTCATTTGTCCATCACGTCTAAATTTAGGACTGACAAAAGCTCTAGGCCTTTATACTAGGCTGATCTAAGACCTAGACCTTTGAAAATAAGTTTTATGGGACACATAAAATGGACCTGCATCCATTACTGCCTATGTAGCCTTGGAGAGGTCAACAAGTAGTAACAGTCCTCAAGTTTTTCTTCCTTTACTACAGATTTCTTCTTCTTACAGTGTCTTTATTAAAAGGAATCTCTGCTAAGTTTGAAAGTTGACTAAGAAACTGTAAAGGACCATCATATATCTAAGAGGCACTTTGCTTTTCAGGGACTTATTTACCATAGATACAGGATGACAAATAAGCATCTCCTCTGGAATAGCTATTACGCAACTCTGGACCAACCTGGCAAAGTAGTCATTCCACTGTGAAAATTAAACTCCAGCCATGATATCAAACAACCACACTGTACAAATCTACATAAAAGAGCAGCCTTCTTCAAATAATAAACTTGTCTGCATTGTCCTTTGAAAGACACAGCTGACATTTCTTAAATTAAGATTTAATACAGTGACAGCAGGAACAGGAGGGTGAAGAGTTGAGCGCGATGCAGCAAAATCACTGCAAAATTTTCTAGTTCAAACTCAAAATCTGCTGACAGAGGAAAACCCCTGTAGTGACAGTCACTGGAAAACAGCAATATATAAAACAAGACAGTGTCATTTCAATTTGACCTGGACAAAGCTGAAAAATCTGCATTTGGCCGTGCAATGACACAGAACAGCTTTCTCCTGTTGGCATTCTATTTTACAAATATTCTTGAAATATATTTTGCAGATACCAAGCCCAGCCATCAACTGGGCCTTTGCAATAAAGGCCTCTGCTGGAAACAGATGAAATGGCAGAACATATCTGAGGATACGTTCAGATATCTGAGGATATCTGGCAAGTTCAGCCAATAGAAAGAACAGCACTGGCATCTAAGGAGCTCAAGGTTAATTCCCCTTCTGGAATTAAGCAACAAATGGTAGAGAGTCCAAGCAGGAACTGGGAACAATGCCATGACCGATGCTCTGTTTTTCCTCTATAGTGATCTAAAAATAACCTTTTGGGATGTCTCATGAGAAAAAGACCAGCCTGTAAAGCCATGGATATGTATTTCACCCTTCATTTAGCCAAAAACCAGGAAACAGAGACTGAAAGGAGTCTCTGAAACAACACAATGCAGTGATTGTGTTGCATTGTGAAGTTATTTCTGTTTTCTCTCAGTTTTCTCTTGGAGGAGGACGGCATTAAAAAGAGCTTCGCAGTAACAGTTTCACTGGCAGATCACAGGTTGTGCGTGTCAGCACTTCAGTGCGTACTACAGCACTCCTCCTTAAACAGTAGATAAAAAGACAGAAGATATTTCCCATATCAGCTTTGTAAGTCCAAGCAAAGAGGAATAAAAGCCTTTCATTTCCAAGTCACTTGTCTGAATCTAACAGCATTCACTTCTGAAACAGAGTTATCTTCCAGTCTCATCTAGAAGCAAACACCAAATTCATGGTTTTAGGGGTAGAATCCCAGTCAGCTGAAGACAAAGGCAATGACTGCAATTGCACCTGGCAATCTGGCATCTGCCTGGCAAAAGAACTTCCAAGCAGGGCTTTGACAGAGTATAGCCCCTCTTCTAGAGGTATATGATGGTGCAGGGAAAAGCAGGCAAACAAAAAACCCTCCACTTTGAAATCGCTCCTCAGCTGCAAGAATTTACACTACACACTTATTTTGAAATAACAAAGCACTTCTCAATCTGTATTTATTTACACTTGGCAATCTATGTACACTTAGCAGCGGTGCATAAAGACAATTTTTTCCCCTCACTGATAACTAGCATAATCTGTTCCTAAATTCACTAAAACTAGCAAGACAACTGAATTGCTCCTGAATTGACACTACTGATTTTCCAAGGACTTATTTTCAAAGAAAAACATACTTTCTAGCTAGCATGCTACCTGGGTACAAAATATGGTATTATTTGCATCATGCTAGGTAGCATCTAGCAACTGAAAATAGTAATATCTCACTACACTAAAAGCAGATTTTTTATAAACCACTCTCTCCTCCTTGAAAATGTTACTCTTGCAGATCCTACAGAAATTTAAACACATTTGCAAAGAACAATTTGGGACAAGCAAGAATAAGTTCATCTCTCAACTTGGTAGCCTTTCCTGTTGGTCTATCTGCCATTGATGCCTTAGAGATTGTGCATGATCAATCCCCAAACTTCAGTGTATTTTAAGCATTTAACAAGAACAGGGGGACAAAGGAAGGATGGAAAAAACAGTACCACACAGTGGTTGTTACACTAAGTTCACCTAAACCCTACCAAGTTTGAATGAAGTCTTTCAGTTGGCTTTGGTGTTCTTAGATCAGGCCTCAAAACTGTCATCTTAAGGGATGGACACAGGATTTCATCAATGCTTTTAAAATTAATGCAGCATTGGCATTCAAATCCTCTACATAGCTCAGAGTTCCACAGTGCCTTTGTAATGCAATCACTCTAAAATATATCAATAAATGATTGAATGGATGCACACACATCAGCAAAACCCACCAGCTCTCTATTCAGAAGCTGTCATGTATTATAGAAGTCAGAGTACAGTTCTGCTACAGATCGTGAGAAGACATTTAATAGTCTTCTCTTCTAAAAATGTACTTTATAAATGTGTAGGCAGGTTATACCTCTAGTGTAGTAGACTTTGCTGATACTTTGCTTTTAATATGACTTTTTTTTTTTTTTTTTTTTTCCCCAAGCTACAGGGAAAAGAACACTTTAAATAAGGAATTAACAATGCTTAACATTGCACTGTTAACGACATAGGTTCATACCTGGTAAGTAACTCGCTTCTTTCCATCGCCATCTGTTTCAGGCAAGGTCAGAGGTCCAGAAACAACCCAGACATCCTCAAATCTCTCAGTCAATTCCCGACAATACATTTCCATTCTGAAAAGACATTTATCAGATAAGGTAAAGTCAGGTGGGAAAGCTTAACCACCTCAGAAACACCAGTAGGAAGAATGAGATCAACGGCAGTTTGGGGGCATTCTTCCCAATTTTCATGACTGACACACGCCCAAGAAGGTAAAAATGAAGGGAAAAGTCTTTCCAGATTCACTTGTTTGCAAATAGACAGGTGTTAGCAATGCACATTTGAAAATTCTGAGTTTTACTGTATTTCCTGAAAATCGTAATTCTGTACTAACTGCCACTTGATACTATAAATACACTGCTAATGTCTTTTAGGATCAGTAAAAAGATACAAGTGAAAACACTCATCTGACTGCTAGTGGAAGCAAGGGGCTTCAGGAAACACCTAAGACCTAAAATAGTGATGACTCAACGTGTAGCACTCACCTCTTCAAAAATCAACATCAAACTCATAGATGTGAAGACTCTTGTACTGGAAACGCTTTTTTTGTGAAGAAATGTTAAGCCCAAATCTGATCTTCTTCCTAGTTTCTACTAAACTTACTCTGTCTTAACCCTGGTAATATTTTATTTACTCCATATAAACATCCCCTACAGCTTTATTGGATAAAGGACCAAAGTGGTCACTGTATTGTTCTTACATTGTGAAGAATGAATTACCTTTAATTTCAGGGAACATTGCTATGATCTCTCCAGGAAGCCTGTAAAATGCCTTAGAATATTCTGAAGATTTATGATTTACATCACTGCCTGGTATTTTCCATTTAGTTTACTCACCTGTTCCAAAATCCAGCATTATTTTCATAATTCTGAGGCACAATGTTAGAAAGATAAAATGTTTCAGCCATGGCTCTCTGCGTAAAGAAAGAAAACAGTATCACTGCACTGAAACCAAAAATATTGACCAAAAAATATATTTTGGGAGTTTCTGGATCAGAATTTTGCTATCGTCACAGAAAAATATTATCAACAGAGGATGTCAGGTCATCTTATAATACCCAGGCCGGCATATCTAAAGGACTGTTTTGGAGTAAGAAGTGCAAACTGAGCTGCAAGCCTTGCAGATTGAATATACTTTTGCTTGACAGAAACATAAAAAAAAAAATCCAATTCTCAAGCCATAGGAATTACAAAACCCACACTGCAGGAACATAGCAATACATTTGGAAGCAACTAGCTTTCTTTTTAGAAGGAAAAAAAAAATTCACTCATGCTTTTAATATACTGCGCTAGCCAAGTGGCTAGCTTTTAAAGAAAAGCCTTCACAAAAGGTATTCAACAGTATTTTACAATTTTAAAGATACATAAGCTGTTGGTGATGAAGTGATTTCTAACCTTCAAACATCTACACACTTTGCTAATTTTATGCTTAAAACCACAAGCTTCCCTAAATTGAAGCTTACATATCTACAGATGTAAAGGAACATACATAGGAAAATACTGATTTTCACAAGATCTTAACCCAGAATCTTGATAGTTGTCAAGATTCTGTCCATGCTCCTCAGGTACTTCTTTATGAAAGTGAAGGGGCTGATAAATGCACTTAGGGTAATGTGTAACCTCTACCTGCAGTTGTTACACTGTGAAATACTTCCAGGTTTTACAATCCTGTATTTGAAAGGTGAAGTATTATCACACTATATTGCACCCCACCTCCAGAATCTCTCTGTGCAGGTGGCTCACCATGCCCCAACTCCCCTAACATCACAAATAACGACAGAGATGCTTTCTAGTAAAAATAAAGTGACTGGTTCTTTCATCTATCACATGTTACTGTCCTGTCACTCCATTCCTCAGCGTGCTATACAGCACTGAAATACAAATTCAAGCTGCTTCTTAAGCTTGCCTGCATTAGGCACATTTCAGAAGAAGACCTAATAAATCCAAGGCTGCTTTGTTAGTCGGACAAGGCATTAAGGTATGCTCTTCCTCCAGCTTAAGTAAGCAGCAGGTGAAGGCACTACAAAGACTGAAAGAACTATGGCAAAGAAAAGGTTCTAATTTATCTCATACACACTTCCAGAAAGGAAAAGCCTTTAAAATCATTCAATGAACCTTTGCCAATAGGGAAGAGTTATTAGCAGCATTTTTGCTCTGCCCAACCTGCTCTTAAGCACTTCACCACCTGTTAGCCAGAGCAAAGCTAGCTTCTCTATCTCAGTTTACCACGGCTTCCAAAGACATTTCAGAGGTTTAGTGGCTTTATTGCTTTCATTTTAGCCATACAGAATGTGTCACATAAGAAGCTGACAGAGCTGCTAAACACTATGCAGTGCAAGATATATGCACGCTATCTCTGCTAGGCAAGGTAGCCTAGGCATGATTTAATAAATTTTTATATGACCAGAGGATGATTTACAGCATCTGATTTAGACACCTGAAACAGCGAGAGCTTCTTCAGGAACAGACCTCATAACTCAAGTCCAGGTCTGTGCTTCGACAATGAGACCGTGTTCCATCTCAAAACAAAGAGCAAAAGGAACATTATACATCACTTTTACTGGTCTTTCTACACTTTCCCTTGATAAATACAAATTAAGAAGAATTCCTACTGTTGAAAACTTGTTGTCTCCTGCTGGTGCCATGTGTCCTCGCGACCAGCCGCTCCCGATGTAGTCTTCATTGACAGCACTAAACATCAGAGGGATGTTAGGATCTGGTCTGAATTTACAGTGTCTTCGGTCTGCATCCCCTGAGGAAGAACACACTAAATTGTTAGCTTATCAGTAAGTTATTAGTAACAAAAACACCAGTACAGTTCATGGTGCTGAAGACATATTATTTTTTCTCTTTCAAATTCAGTGTGTTATCTTAGGCATAAGTTCACATTTGCATTATACAAGACCATTACATATCCTTTCTTTTAACTAATTATGCAATTGTATACTCTCTTCACATCTCTGTTTCATTTTATTAAGGCCTAAACAAGCTAGAAAGAATTCCCTCAAACTTTGCACATATTTCCTGAAGCAAAGGGGCATTTTCAATAATTGTTAGTTGTTAGAACAGTTCCTTATACAGCTGACTGTGCATATCCACTACTGTGCATATCCACACAAGCTTCACACACTCAGTCTCTTTTTAAAGCAGCATTAGTACTGAGCCATACGCACCCTATGCTTCATCCTGAGAACAAAGTGTGATAGATGCTCCTCACTTGTTAGTTCTCTGCAGAATCCAGAATATCTAAGGACCACAAGGAAGAAGGGAAGAGGTAGGAAAAGAATATGCATACAGACAATGCATCCATGAATAATTCCTCTTCTTCACTGACTGTATGTCCATGGAGGTGACATGAAAACTTTTACACTGGTAAAGGAAGAAACTCTCAGTTTACTAGGGTTATTTTTTCCCTCCTTTTATTTATTTATTTTTGATAAAGCACATAACATGATACTTTGGCTCTCAGGACTGATGCTTAGGAAGCAAAACTGATAAACTTATTACTGTGCAAAACTGAAGAAAAACCCCAGCAACCCTACTGAATCTCAGTATTTAAGACAACACAATTTAGCTATTGAACTTGAAAAACGGAAATTCTATCCTCATTTATTCTCTGTTCAATTATTTGGTAAAAATGGGCAATTTCTGATGTAATCAACTGCATATAACTCATTTGCACATAAAACTGGTTTCTTTCCACCATGTTTCTGAAATATTTGCATTTTTATTTATCATTAAAAACTACCTAGCTTAATATACCCCCTTCCCTCAAAGGTCCAATACACAGAGGTCTTCTATGGTAAATACTCTAAATAGCATCATTCTGCCCCAAGTTTCAATTAGAGCAGCTATCAGACATAAATTAGGGCTGAATGCCTCAGGATGTTTAATTTCGATTTGTAGATTAGCTGTATTTGATCATTTGGAAAACATTTTAACTATCTAGCTTTTAAAGTCCACTTGAAAGCAAGCTTGGAAATACTGCTTTCTTCTCAGACAGAAATAAAATCAATTCTGCTACTTAGGGATTGGTTGTAAATATTTTCAGGATCACACTTTTAATGTTGAAAGATAACAAAGACAGTGATTAAGATATACCTGAAAGGCTGCTACCTTCATAAACCATTTTACAGCTACAGAGTTAGCTCCACTATAAATAATTTGCCTTATAAAAACTGAAATAACACTATGAACTTAATTTACAGTGACACCATACCACTCATATTTCATTCAGCACTGACAGGAAAAATGACCAAGTCTCTCTTGTGCCTAAAGAACAGGGAAAGTCTATTTGATAAAGCAAGAGAACTGCGTCACAGTAACAGCTGCAGTAAGTAGCTATGCTTTATCTAGCTTTGTATCTGTTGATCTCTTTTATTTCACTTTTATCTCAGAAATGCGTATTTTTCCCCTCCCCTATTCTGCAGAAACCTTTTTAAGATTTACAGATGAAAGAGAGTGGTAATTGAGGACCCGGGCTATATAAGTATTCAAACGCATTAAACAGTTCCTCAACTGACATAAGTTGGCCCATAAAACAAACGACAGTTTACACCAGCTCAGGAAGCAAAGTTTTATCCACTTGAGCCACAGACAATGAACTTCACAGGTGCTAAATCAGTCAAGAGAAGTCTAATTATATATATAATATATATTTTATACTTTTATATATATTTATATCTACATATTTTATATATTTTTATACATATTTATATATATTTAAACACCTCCCCACTTGTATTTAAGATAATTAAGCTACGGTTTCCTTTTGCAAGTTGTTTTATAGTGCTCATATTCACACAGCTTCACCGATTTGGTGCTTTCTGACAAATTACCCCTGCTCCCAGTGGGATGGTGAGTGGGTGGACAACCCTAAACCTAGAGAAAACTACAGCCTGTCCGCAGGGTCCACAGCCAACAAGCTGCTGAGCCCTTTCTGAGTGTGACAAATAGAAGTAAATAGACGTCTACGTACCCAGCGTCTTCTGCTTGGAGATGTGCTCGATGACCCAGCGGGGCACCCGCTTGGCCTGGTCGTAGGAGAGCGCGTGGTTCGTGTAGCACCGCGTCTCCATGCCGGCTTCGGGGAACCCGTATCTCTCCAGGAGAGCCTCCGGCGCCGGCTCTGAGGAGGGAAACAAGCAGAAAGCGGCACCAAAGTGAACAGGGGTGCTCAGAAACCTGTTCGCTGCTGGAATCAGGACAAAGCAATTACAGGAGCCCACGCACTCTTTTACCAAAAATGCTAAGTGGTGCCTACACCTGAGGATGGGCTCTGGCTCCTAATGGCCACACACACCTGCCAGTGCTTCCTAAGGGGGAGGGACAGAAAAGACAAGGATATTTAAGAGCAAACTGGAACTTAAAGAGCAAAGCAGGCCCTTCAGAGAGTGCCCAAAACATCCTTCCCCAAGTCCTACCATTAGTGCAAAGGCTCAGGGGAGCAAAACCACCGCTTAAAAAAACACCTTGCTTATTTATCTAACTATTTTTATTTGCAAGAACCACCTTGTTTATTTATCTATTTTTATTTGCAAGGAAGCTTTTCTCTTTCCTGTCACGGAGGAATATTCACACCCCCCTCCCACAGGCTCCAGCTTTACAGCAAGGCACATTTCCATTTTCAGAGCTTCCCAGCGCTTCAATACCTGCAAAACCTCGGTATGTATATTAAAATAAACACGTATATGTGTATGCACGTACACACACACGTATATAACGGCGCATATGGGAATCGCCAGCTGCCCACAACGCAGCAGAGGCCCCGTTTGGACTCGGCCGCGCCACGGCCTCCCCGCGGCCCCGCCGCTCTTACCCTGCGGCGGCTCCGGCTCTGGGCGGCTCTGGCTGCGGAGGAGCCGCCACGCGGCCCAACACGAAGCGGCGGCTCCGGCCGCGGCGCCGCAAACGAAGCCGCCCACAAAGCGGCGGCGGGAAGAGGCCGCCATGTCGGCGCGGGCGCAGGGGAGGCGGGAAGGGCCGCGCGTGCGCAGCGGCGCCCCCTGCCGCCCGCGCCGCCATGATGGGGGGGGCACCGCAGGAGACGGCTCGCAGAACTTTTTTTTCCTTTTTTTTTCTTTTTTTTCCCCTCATTTGTGTGATCAAATTGAGATCAGTCGTGAGGTTATGCAGCATTCTATTCATATTTTAATCAGGGAAGCCACCATCCGAGTGACTTAAGTTCAACTCCCCTCCCACTTGCTTCTTCCACTGGTGCCCATTTCAAAACCACCTGGAGCTGCGACCGGGTTTCCTAACTAGGCTCAAACAACTCCAGCAAAAGCTATATATAAATATAAAATATGTATTTTATAGAAATATTTATATTTAAAAAATATATAATATATATATTCAAAATGCACATATATATGTATATTTTTTAAGGGAAAAAGTGGCCTGCTCAGCCACCAAAACGGGTGGAGGGCACCCAGCACCACCACCTCCCTGCAGCTTTTGCCATCTAACCCATGGCCCTTCCTTGGACACGCGTAGATTCCCAGGGATTCACCTTAAACCCCCAGCTTAAGCTCTGCTAAGGCCGACACCGCAACAATTTTTAACATCACACCAGCAGGACAAGTGATTATTTGTAATTTATTGTTTATTTTCATATACAAAAAGATAAACTTGAAATAGTTCTTTCTAGTTTTTTTTTTCTTTTTTTTTTTCTTTTTTTTTCTTTTCCCCCCCTCCTATCTGTTGGGGTGTCGCTGCTTCACACGGGGCAAATACTACATTCATACAGGTTTATTCGGGCGCCCAGTGCAAAGCTGAAGCAGCGAAACTCCAACTTGGCAGATCTAATTTCAAACTTGAGACTCATTTTCTAAAATACCACAGTAAAAAGGAACAAAGATCCACTGCAAATTCATGAACTATGATACAATGTTCTTTCCAAAATGTCTTCATTTCATAACTGCAATACAATGGAGGTCTGCATTAGGCCATTTTATATATGTGTGTGTGTGTGTGTGTGTTTATATATACACACACACACGTTTAAGTGTGTGTGTGTGTGTGTATACATATAAAATATATATATATATTTAAAAAAAATCAGCACACTTCAATCCAAAAGGGGTTACAGCAACGAGCTTAACTCTCTGTATACTTTTTCTTTAACAGGATACTTTAGTATAACTTTTAACTCAGTAGTACAAGCTATCTCTGTTCTACATTTTTATAGCTACAAGAGTGAAATATAACCTACAACATTTACATTTCACATATCTTGGTATACAAACAGTACTTATTGAATTTGAGCCAAGGACCAAAAGACTCTTTAAAAATTATTTCACCATCTGATAGAGCTTCCTGTAATTTACACTGTTTGCTTCTGCAATCTTCAAAATCATTTACTTAATCTCATAGTTTGAGTTTAAATCCATTCAAAACTGGAAATCCTGGAGAAACAGGTTACTGCAAACTCTTATGTATACTCTCTATATACAAGTTAAGTAACACAGCGTAATAAGACTTAGCTATTTATCCTAAAACTGATATACACATATTTCACTACGCTAGACAAGTCTTAGGATTTTTATTTTATTTCTTTAAATAAAGCACAAATTTAGAAGTAGCTGGTAAAACTTACAATATGATGGTTTAAAATGACAAATGGCTAGGGTGAGATTTCTTTCCGCTGGTGCCAAACATTTTCTTGTGAGTTTTGTACTATGCTGTGTTGTTTAACTGTATGCGTCTAACGTTACATGCAGAAAGCTCTTTCCACAAGAATTGACATCAAACTGTACTTAGGTCAACTTTACAGTAGAAAATTTGTCAAACTTAAGGACGTATGTGAAAATATTAACAGGTGAAAGATCAGGCTTTCAACTCTATCATGAGGATCATGCAGATTTCATAAGCAGTTTGAGCAGATTGACAATGGCATTGTGCGGACTTATGGCATAGATTTGAGGTCAAGAATGTTATTTAGTTTGCAGTAACCACCTCCCTTAACTCTAATCCACCCACAGATCGACTTTTGCATCATAGTTATTCCATTGGAAGGCCAGCAGCATTGCAAATTGCCTCCTCCTGGGAGATTTTGATGCTTCTCTGAAGTGATTCACCAAAGATAATCGTCAGCCCTCAATAGCCATAGAAACATTTGACACTTGCGGGTAAAAAATGAGGAAGAAAAACACTTTCTTCTCTTCCTTTAAATTAATTACTATTTGGATTGGGGAGTTACTGCTTTGTCCAAGGAAAAATGCAAACTGTACCGTTGCATTAGCTATACAGATAAATAAAAACAACAACAACATCAAACAGGTATTTGGAAAAGAGAAGGTAGTTGGAGAAAGGGCCCAGTTTGTTATAGGCCTTGTTGACATGTTTTTTGCTATCCAGAGGATTGTCTGGCGTTTATACTATCCAACATCCTCCTCCTCTTCCTCAATCATGTTTGGGTTTTTGGTTTTGTTTTGCTTGGTTTTAACAACAGTGGCAATCCAGAGATGGCAGTGACTACTGAATTAAGAATTTAATCGACAAGGATGGTTACCGGCTAAACTTTAGTTACTTAAAGATACAGAGAAGTTGAGTAGGGTATGGCCAATGTTTTCCTTGTCGCAAAAGCAAAAGCTAATGAAATCTTCCCAGAATATGCTAAGGTTTTGCAACAACAACCTTACTGGAATGTTATACACTGAGCTTTTGGTTTTGATTTTAAATAATTGGAAAGAGTAAGAGGCCTCTGTTTCAAAATGGGCCTAAAAATGCAGAAACAGTGTTTTAATCACATAATCTGTCCCTTTCAAATACTGAAATAAAGAGGCTAACAAAGGAAGCACTTTTCAAAAAACACTCTTTTGAGATATATATATGTGTATATATATATATATATATCCAGCACAATGCCATTACAGAGCTTCAGAGAAGCCCTTTTGGTTTCAATGTTGGAAAATAAAAAAGGTTCTTTTTTTTTCCTTCAGTCCTTGGGGATCACTTTCCATTTATATATATATATATAAAATATATATACACACATATATATATACATATATATATAAATGGCCTCATATAGCAAGGTTCCTGTTTGTGTATGTTACAATATTGTAGTATCAAGGAGAATCCAGATAGCAACACTGTTTAACATGAGGTTGAGGTAATTGGTTCTTGAAATCCCTGGATCACAGACTGCATCCAGAAATAACAGCTGGGCAATTTTTTTTTTCCAGACAGAAAATACTAGTAAAAGAAAAAAGAAAGCTTACAGCAGTTGCTTTTACATGGAAAAATAAAGGCACAACAGAATAGCATTACACTTGAGAACAGCTGGATGGACATAAAGCACAATCTCTTTCTGTGGAAGTGTCCCGGCAAAAAGGATCACTGCTTATTTGACAGGTTATTACTTCAGTCAGGGGACAGAGTTTCACCCTAAAACCAGAGTTTGGGGAAAAAAAGAAGTCCCGCCTAAGTCAGCGAAGGTACTGAGCAGGTTTAGGAAGCGCACTGGGGGTCGAAGCAGGACGCCCACGGGACAGGACCTCACCAAGGACGCGCAAACAGGATCCAGCCACTGCAGGAGCTCGCTCTGTGCCAGCCCAGCACTAATTTCAAAAGGTGCACTGTCAAAATGCTTCCATCTTCCAAAATTTCTTATTTGGTTTTAAGCTTCGGTAGCTTTTACCCTATTGGTACTGTGCTACTGAGAACCCAAGAAAACCAGAATGCATTTTAGGTCCAGTGGGAAAAGCTAGCCTAAGTGAAGAGAATTCATTGCAAGCTTTTTTCTGCTTTAATGCTTGCAGAGTATGGTGCATTAATTAGGCAATTTAGGAATGCTTTTTCTGTAGGTAAGACTTTGAACCTGACAGCGCCCATTTTCTTCAGTGCCTGACCCAGACAGTCAAATCTGATGTTGGAACCACAGAGCACGTGCCCGTGCATTTGGGTGCAGCCTGATTATGTGTCACTTCAGAGACAGGGAACTTCTAGGAATTGCCTTTTATCGGGATTCCTCTGGCAACAGGTCCTTACAGATCACATTGTCAATGCAGCAGGCGCAGCTGCTGCTAACGGATACGGCAGCGAGCTAGATCAGCCCAGCTATTTGGTCTCAGTAAATTCTCCCCGCACTGACTTCACAGCTCACTGCAGCATCGCTCACACATGGATTTTTGCATGGATACATGGAAAAAAAAAATCTTCCCGGTTTACATTGAAGATGGTCACGGAAAAGCAATAAGCATCTTCAGCAGAAGGGACGTGACATGCAAGATAAACCTATTCAACATTTACTCAGTGCCATCTTTGCAGCACACCCAAGTACATCCAGACTTGCTTCTCAAACTGGTTTCAGGCTAAACTTGTCCTATCCTCTATACTTCGATGTAGTGCACACTTAATTCAAACATTACATATATATATATATATTTATTTTTTGCTGTGCGTACACAGACCTTTCTCCCTTTTCCCTGCAGAAACATATCAGACATTACAAAAATAATTTGTGGTATAAAAGAATTCTCACACAATGTAGAATTTCTGTTTGTATATGTAACTAAAATATATATATACTTTTTTCCAAAAGTAAAAAAGTCAAATGTACTTATTTTCCTCTATTATATAATCTACTTTTATTTACAATGTTACCAAATGATATTCTGTATGTAAAAGTGATATAGTTAGTGGGACGCTTCCTGCTTAGCGACTTCTCAAGCGGAGTGTGGCTTGAGGAGGCTGCAATAGCAGTGTAGTCACAACCTCCTCAATACTGAGTGAAACCCAGACCCTTCTCCTGCAAAACAGGCTCAGTTCTGTCAGTCTGCCGGGAAACCAGCACGAGAGGAATTAAATGTAGTTTCTATGCTGAGATCTTAAGGGGGATCAATATTCCTAATGGCAAAGGCCTGACTCTACCAACATGGAAATACCCACCAGCAGCTTGGCCCTGAAGGGATCCAAAACTGCTGCCACTGGATGGAACAGCTCCAGT